CAGTGAGTTCTTCAAAAGTTAACAATCTAACTGTATATCCTGGAATATAAGTGGAGCTACACTACAGACCAGACTGAGATCCAGGACGTGTACTTGCCGTACAGTGACTCCAGCTAGACTACCATTCTGGAGCCAGCAGATGGCAGAGCTCTGAGCAGAACTGCTTTAGGAGTGAGATCCTTAGGACCTTCCCGCCATGCCTTGCTTCATTCCCTTTGGCATCAGTTTTAGGAGGAAGCTGCCAAGGAGAGCTGAAGGGAGATGTTGAGCCACTCTCCATTTTAAGGGTCACTTTTTTAAACTTTCAAATGGCTACTTATATGCCAAATATAAGATATACAGTCAACTCTCCATTATTCATGCAAATGGAGGGCACTGAAAGTGCAGATAATGAAAACCTCATTTCTTTTTGACTTTGAGGTTATGTTTATACTTACTTTTTAATGTGGGTATATTGCCTGTTTTGGAAAGTCACAACACTTTAAAGTAATGAAGCCACTCTAAGAAGATCTAACTTAGGGAAGAATTGAGAAACTGCCCATTTCTCTGTCCTGCCCCATCCCAGCTACTGTACCATCCTCCTACTACATCTATTTCCTCCCTCCATTCTAGGAATGGACATGACGTCTGCTACAAATTACTGCCCTAGCCAAGCTACCCTCTCTCTACTTAGCCAGATCTCACATCTCCCCAGAAAATGAGGAGAGCATGGAAAAACGCAAGAAGGAAATGTAATTATCTGATTTTGTTTTTGGTGAGGAAGGTTAGCCCTGAGCTAACATCTGTTGCCAATCCTCCTCTTTTTTTGCTTGAGGAAGATTAGCCCTGAGCTAGCATCTGTGCCAATGTTCCTCTATTTTGTATGTGGGTCACTGCCACAGTATGGCTTGACGAGCAGTGTAAGCACATGCCCGAGATCCGAACCCGCAAACCCAGGCCACCAAAGCGCAGCACCCCAGACTTAACCAGTACACCAAGGGGCCAGCCCCAATTATCTAATTTTTAAAGGGGCATTTCTGGAAGAGATTATCCTCAGGAGACTCCCTAATGAGAATGCCGTCAGAGAGTTTGGAAGAGTGACGTGAGTGGCACTGGAAAGCAAACTGTCTATAAAAAGCAGCTACTCCTGCTGCTATTTACTCAATGCACGGTCCTTGGAGTTTGGAGAACCACAGGTGTCAATGGCATTGGCTATGCACTTGGGTGTGATGGCAGACCAATTTTCCTTGCCTTCAGTCTTGGCCTACAGTCTCTCTAGACTGAATTTGATATTATCTGTTAACCTACCCCACAGCCATGTCTTCACTCACCCTGTATGTAGAGAGGTCAATCCTCAGTGAGTTGTGTAGCTGGTCCAGCAGTTTTACAAATCTCTCTTTCTGAGGGTGGGAAATAAATAACAGAGAAGAGAGAAATTATCTGTTTCTGAACCCCCTAGACTGCAGCAGAAACAGAACCACCTCTGGGTGAGGAGGAGACATTGGGTTGGGGACACATCCTATTCCATCCCCATGCATAAGGAGAACAACAAACAATATAAGGGAGAAATAGGATAGGTGATCCCTGTTCCATCTCTTAGCATCTCTGTCTCAAACTGGGGAATCTTCTCACAGTGGCAGGGGAAAGGAAGTCCTTGGGAGGGGAAACAGCTCTTTCTATACAAGAGTCAGGAGACGACCAGTGTATCGCCATCCCTTTGGGACTCTAACTCATCTTAGTCAAATAAAAGGAAACTCCAGCCACATTCTCCAACTTGTTCTTGAGCCTCTGGTCTCCTGACTTATCTTGGGGTAGCTAATAATAGTTAAATAGCAACAGCCTAGCAGTAATGATGGAAGGGAGAAATAATGATGCATTTGGAAGGTGATCAGGCAGACCTGATGGAGTTTCTCTTTAAATCACATTCCACATCATTTCCCTTAGTTTATACTTTTTAAATGTTATATAAATAACATATACTACTCCAGTAGTTGATTTTTAGAGAAAAGGTATAATTATATGTGGAATCATGTGCCTGTACGCTGTTGGCATAGCACTCCTAGAATTCATATACTGATTATGTTATATATCATTAGATACTGATAAAGACAATATATAATGGGATGAAACAGAATGGAACAGATATTTGACTAGCTTAATCAATGATATTAATTCATCTACAAAAAGACTCTTAACAATAAGAAAAGTGGTTAGTACCAAAAAAAAGGGCTCAGAGACCCAGTGGATTTGGGGGTATCAGTAATTTTATCCCTAAAGACGTAATCTTTGTGGTGGATCAAAGATATTTCATCCAGTTTATACTGAACTTATGTCAGGTGACATTCTGAGTAAAGATTCAACTTCTCAAGCACCTTAACACCAGGAAAGGGCAAACTCTGGATACGGAAAATAGTCCAGACAACTAGAAAAGGGATAGGCTTAGGTATATACTGGTATCCTTGCTTAGACATCAGTCTCATATGAGCTTAAGTGGTATGAATCTGTCAGAGAGAGACTGAATAATATTAAGAAACGTCCATTTGTGGACCTGCAGGACTCAGGAACATGGTGACTCAACCAAGTTCTTGGCCTAGAGAGGTTCTGTCTGAGCCAGGCGGTGCTCCACCCCTCCCAAACTATGGTGGTGCTATTCTGCCTTCTCTCATTTATCCATATCTGAGGAGAGTCTATTAGTAAGTCTACATATCCATAATAAAATAAGGATAGTCTATTAGCATAGTCTAGATACCCATGAGAAAACAAGTTCATCTAAGTGGCAGCTATCTGAATTATAGGCATATCAACCAACTCGACAGTACCGACCGTGAAAAAAGCAAACTTTGTTAATTGGTAACAAACAGGTAGATATGTTTTTACATCATACTCACCCCAAAGTTGGAGGCTGCAAAGCGATCAGACGCAGAGACATTGGTGGAGGCGGTTGTGTGGGCATAGTAGGCATTGATGTTGGCCAGTAAGGTGCTCATCACTGCTGGCACACCAGGACACATGTACTTGGATGACAAACATGCAAAGTGCCTGAAAAACAGCACCCCCAGCCTCAAAGACTCTTCAGGGCTTACAGCAAAAGCCAAGTAATCAAAGATCTCACTGATGTGTATGAAGCTTCCAATCACCTTGGCATACAAGGATCATCATAATTTATTCACCAAATATACATTCAAAGAATGCCTACCATGTGCCAGACCCTGTGCTAAGCACTACAATCCAAAGATGTGATAGCCTGGTAGAGAAAGCAAGAGTTAGAAAGTAAATCAATAATCCAAGGCATGCTAGGCAAAAACACTGTGGAAATACACAGGAAGATCACCTAAATCAGCATGGTTAGGGGCAGGAAAGGATTAGAAAAAAGCTTCCCCAAGAAGAGATGGTTGAACCAAGTCTTAAAGGATTAGTAAGAATTAATCAAATGGAGAAGTGTGCGGGGAAAGGGAAATTGCACTGCAAAGACAAGTATATTCATGAGAGAGTGATCCATTTGGGAAACCTCAGCTATGGTGACTGTTCAGGGGTCTGATAGAGGAATATCAAGAAATGAGAAATGAGAAGTAGGCAGAGAACAGATAATAAAGGAGTTTATCCTAAATGCTATGGTAAATTTTTAAACAAAGGCACAGTGTGATCAGATTAGTCTTTGAGAATGGGTCCCTTTGATGATAAATTGGAAAAGAAGACTTGAAGAGATATAAGAGTAAGACAGAAAGACCAGTGGAAGAGTTACTGCAATCATTCAGAAAAGAAGCAATGAAGCACTAAATGGAACTGAGAAATGATTAAGAGCACAGACTCTGGTTTGAATCTCAGCTCCACCATTCATTCAGTGACCTGGGGTACATTACTTCAACTTCTCTATGCTTCAGCTTTCTTATGTGTAAAATGGGAAAAATAATGATACCCACCTCATAGGGTTGATATGGACATTAAATGAGTTAACATTCATAAAGTGCTTGGACCAGTGCGTGGCACATAAGGATAATCTCATTATCATTATTATTGAGCTACCGCAATAGTGATAGATTAAAAACTAGAGGTTTTAGAGATAGGATCTGGGAGTTAAAGGGGTAGTAGTAAACAAGAAAGAAAAGTTTAGCCTGACTCCTAAATTCGTTTGGACAACTGCATAGAAAATCATCCCATTTGCTAAAACAGGGAATACAGGAAGATAAGCATATTTGGTGGAGATGATGGTGATCTGGAATTTAGCCATGCTGAGTTTGCAGTGTCTGTGGGAATACCAAAAAGCCGTTGAAGAGAGACCTAAAATTCAGGAAGAGATCTGATCTGGAGAAAGATCTGGGAGTCCCTAGCCCAGAAGTAGTGGCTGTGGTCATAGGTTTGGATGAGATCATCCAGGGAGAGTGAACCGAGTAAGAACGGCAGAGGGGCCATTCTCAAAACTCATTCTTCACCATATTTCTTCTCTCCATCTACACCGAACTTCTTGTAATTCCTTGAATATTCTATGCTCTGTTGCATCTTAGCACCCCAGCATATGCCCTACCAGACACGCCCTTCCTTTTCTGGATTTCAAGACTCAGTTCAAGTGTCAACTCTTCAATGGATTCCCTCACATGCCCCCCCTAAAATTTAGATGTTCTCATAATACCCTGTGAGTACTTCTACCATAGCACTTATCACATTATCACATTATATATAGCCCTGAGCTAACATCTGTTGCCAATCCTCCTCTTTTTTTGCTTGAGGAAGATTAGCCCTGAGCTAGCATCTGTGCCAATGTTCCTCTATTTTGTATGTGGGTCGCTGCCACAGTATGGCTTGACGAGCGGTGTAAGTACAGACCTAAGATCTGAACCCGCGAACCCGGGCCGCCAAAGCGCAGCACGCTGGACTTAACCAGTACACCAAGGGGCCAGCCCCAATTATCTAATTTTTAAAGGGGCATTTCTGGAAGAGATTATCCTCAGGAGACTCCCTAATGAGAATGCCGTCAGAGAGTTTGGAAGAGTGACGTGAGTGGCACTGGAAAGCAAACTGTCTATAAAAAGCAGCTACTCCTGCTGCTATTTACTCAATGCACGGTCCTTGGAGTTTGGAGAACCACAGGTTTGGTTGTTTACTGGTCTGTCTCTCCTGCTAGACTGAATTCCCCAAGCATAGAGGCCCCATCTTCTTCATCTTTGTGTTCTCAGCACCTAGCACAATGTGTGACACATAGAAGGAACTCAGTAAGTCTGTAAAATAAAGCACAGCCAGGGCAATAGCTACCCTCTGCTTACCTAGGGCTGCTGCCTGTGCACAGCTCTAGTGGCAGCCTCATCAATAGACAAACTATACCTCTTATCATAGTAGGTGGGAATTTCTGTTATAGGAGTCTTGGTCAACGCAAGACACAGCTGCTTTCCCTACAGTTTAGTGCCCTCCGACATCCAGGCCAACCTACGAAAGCTTGTCTGTCACACACATATACACGAGCACACATGCCCTGTCTCCTCAGGCCTGTGATGTTTGGGCATGTTTGTCCTTGCATAGCCTCACGTACCCTTTAACCTTCCTATCTCTAAACGTTGGGGTAGACAGACAAATACCTTCTCCCTGAGTTACTGCTCTTAATACATATATCCGCTTTGCCTTGGGGCGTAGACCCACTTCACCCAGATCAGAGAAGAAAGCAATGAATCACTGCATATTATCCTACTGAGGACCTATCCACCCTGTCAATGTGCCTTCTTAGCCACCCCAAGGGTTAGTAGCCACTTCCCAAAGCCCCAGGGGAGCCTCACGTCATGGCCTGATATATGGATTCGATGCCATAGCGCATGGCGAATTCATCCACAATTTCTTGGGCAGTTTCATCAAAGTACACCTTCCACGCATCGTCTCCTCGAGCCTCAGGGATCCGAATTCCTCTACTGCCCTGAACATCTGTGAGGTAATGGAAAAGGTTCTGCAGGAGACAGAGCAAAGGAAAGAGTTAAATACATATTGAAAACAAAAAGAAAATCTGGTGGTAAAGTTCAGGAGAATGTGAATAGGGTTTCACAGGAATTCTGTCCTTTAAGTCACTGTTCAGTTCCTCCTGTGGCCCCAATAGGCTCTTCTCACATTAGTGAAAGAGAACTGAGACTGAGACTGTTACTTGGGCTGTCCAGGGTAGAACAGTGAGCCAACGATAAAATAAAAAACAGGCCTCAGACCTTCAACCCTGCAGTAGTCCTATTCATTATCAGAGGCCCCTCCCACTACTGCTTTCTGATACCCCATCTACCAAGGGCTGGCTCACCTCATGGAGACACGTATACTGCACATGATACGGGGCTACCTTCTCTTCCCCCTTGATCTCCACACTGATTTGGAGTCGGATAGCCCCTGAGACGGCTGATTTGTCTGTCCTCTTCTCTAGGAAGAAAAGAAGACTGGAGATTGACACCAATGCAACTATAGACAGTGTAGACAGCCCCCATCCTGGCTTAACTCAAAAAAAAGGAGGCACTGACCCAAGGGTTCACCTAACAGGGTAAACTCACTCCATTGACCACATAGTCCACAAATACCCCAATTATTCCCAATAGGAATTCTCCTATACCATTAGGAGAATAGAGGACTAAAGGGATTAGGGATGAGTATAAAGATTAAAGGGGCTTCTGAAATCTGGAGAATGTCCAGCCAGAGTGAATTCCAGCCACCCCCACTTCTCTGTCCCCCATGTCTACCCAAGGTCGGTTCCCTGCAGGTAAGGCAGGCCCTGTATAAAGGTATGCTTTCGAGATTGAGTGGTGGTTTTGGTAGACAGGACTTTCCCCCAGGTTCCCCATTCATGCTCTCCCTTCCCAGCAACTTTCTCTGGTCCTGTTTCCTCACCCAAGTTGTACCAAACGTCCATCTCGCCACTCAGTGTCCGAACCTCAACGATAGTTTGGCCGAGGAAATCATCAGACTCTCGCTTTAGCCGCTGCTTTACTCTTGACTTGATGTCATCATCCTCATCCCACACACGTACCTTAATGCGGTCAGAAGAGTTGTGGCACTCACTATGAGAGAATTAGGCAGGCTCTGTTAGGGAAGGAACCAGCAGCCCCACTCCTATTACTTCCAATTCCCTCCCAAAGCTCCATCAACTGCACTTGAGGCTCTGCAGAGGAAGAGAAGGAGTCAGAGAACAGTGGGACTAGAGTTCCAAGTGAGTCAAGCTATCCCAGCAAATGGCTCTTCATTCCTCAGCCTGGGTGGCTCTACATACATAGCCAGTCCTCACTGCCTCGGGACAAAAAAGGGAGAGGGGAAAGAACAATTAGGGACAATTTTGATTTCCTGTGCAGCTAGCTGTATCAGCAATACCAACAGGAAAACAACTGGACAGATGCCACAGAGCCCTAGGAAGCAACTGCTAGTTCCCTCCCCAGAGTCGGTAAAAGTGCTAATGTTCATGGTATGTCCATCTGGTCGTATCTGCTTAGCTTTCTATCTAGCTCCCTCATCTATCTAAGTATGTGCTTGGTGAACTTCTGTCATTCTTTAATTCCCATGTGAACTGTCATTTCCTCTATGGTGTTTGCTTTGGAGAAGGGAGTTTTCCCAGGTCCCTTCCTCATGCTTTCCTTCCACAGCAGTTGCTTTCTGGTCCTGATGCCTCACCCAAAAGTTGTACTCAACAGAATCTGCTGCTCCTTTCCCTGTGTTTCATAATATCTTTGCACATTCCATTAAAATATTATAGTCTAACTACTGGTCTATTGAAAGATAATAGACAGATCAACAATGAGCTTCTGGAGGCCAGGGATTGTCTTACACATGTATAATGTCTTGTACAAAACAGGGGCTTAATGAATTGTTTACTAAATGGATAAAAGGGGGTAAAACTGACTACAGAGCCAATTAATTTAGAATCAATCATAAGAAGGATTCAAGCAGGAGCCACTCAGATTCTCAAAGAAACAGGTGTTTGCCCCAGTAACTGCTGCCTCTAGATTGGAGACTGATTTTACTAGGCCCCAATTCCTTTCCACATGAGTTCTCCACGGAGCCAACAGGAGGGGGTCTCTATCTGCGTGGCCAGCCTACTTAGCTGATTCAGACTCAAAGTCCTGGTCCTAGGCTTTAGGGGTGTGACAAAGCATCTGGATTCTCCAGACATTAGTCCAAGTCCTAGGCTAGATCTTGACATTTTTCAACAACCATCCCTTACTGTCTATTAAATAGTCTGTACGAAAGTGAGATGATGGAAAAAGGAGTGGGGGTGGAAGCTGAGGAAGCAATAAAAGCAGAGCCCTTTAAGGGAAATGAAAACTTCTCCAGACCCCAGATTTCTTCTATCTTCAAGTCAGAATTACCCAACTCTAGGACAAGGACATTCCTTCCCTACTCCCCAGAAGAGCCTAACCTTTCCTAGGCAGGATGGCAGGTACACAACAGGGTGGTCAGTCCCTGGTTCTGTCACTGAACAGCAGTAAAATCCTTCTAGCACTAGAAAAAGCAGTATGGAATGCCCAGAGTCCCCTTTAATAGCACCAGTTAAGACAGGGGTTGGGAAAAGTAACGCTGATCCAACAGTCCATGAGAAGAAACCCAGAGAAAGAATGGCTGCTGCTCAATTGAAGCATGTGAGAAATGGGTGTTCTCTACTGCCTCTGCCCCATCCCTCCTAGAGTCTAAGCCCAGAATAACAGGATTTGATGCTGCTCCCAAAATACACACAGTCCCAGGTAAGACAAAGCCCTCTGCAACTTACAAATGGAACTTCTCCTCCCAAACAGGATTCAGGTTCCCAAAAATGGTCTTGGTACGCTTCTTGGTTTTGCCCACTTGCACAGTCACATAAGGGTCACTGGATCCTGTCTTGTCCTTGGCTTGTAGGCCCTGGGCACAAACCACTGCAACCCAAATACATAGAGGAGGAGGCTTCAGAGTATGCTCCAGAAGTCAGAAGTCCTCCATAGCGTGACTCATATGTTCTCCATCTTAGAGCAGTCTCTATCTGCTCCTTGCACAGGAACCCTAATCTTCTTACTCCTCCACATCTATCCTTAGTCCTGGGCCACCAGCCTTTCCCTAAGCCTAGCCCAAGAATCCCACCTTCCCACCGGAGCCCTAACTGACCACTTACCACCTACACTGGTCCTTACCTCCTCTGAGACATGCACACTTCAGCCACACCCACCCAGTTAGTAAACAACTGGTTAACTATCTCCTGACTTCCTACTGTCCTCTTGCCCCCACCCCCAGCTCTCGAATATCAGACTGTTACCAAATCCTTCTATGAGCATTCATATAATCTGCAGGTGCCAGGCTTGCCTCTCCCAGCACCCCCTGGCATCACGGTCTAGGAGAGGAGGAGTGATGAGGCCCTCCCTCCTCCCCTCAGTTCTATCTTCTTTATCCCCTGCCCCCTGCTCCCTCACAATCAGGATGCTTCATCCCCAGGCTCCTCCCCATAGCCTAGGCCTTCTTGTCCCCTCACACTTCAACTTGCTCACCAGTGATGGTAATCTTGGCTGACCATTTGGAGGTGCCGTCTAGCACGCTCTGCTTCACTGTTTTCATCTGTTGCACATGGGCAACTTTGCTCACAGTGAAGACATCCCGGATAACTTCAAAGATCTCCGGCTTATTCCGCTCTCGAATCTTCATGCGGTCCTTCATGGCCATGATAATGTTCTGGGTCCGGTCCTCAGCTCCATGTTTAGAGCTCTTTTCTGCAGCCCCTGAAGGATGGCCAAAGACAGAAAGTAGGGTAACCAACGGGCCACCTACCAGACCAAGGGTCAGGCTGGGGAATGGGGCCTGAGAGAGGTCACTGAGCAGTGGGAGAAGCTTAGGAAGACTGGGATATCTCTGGGAAAAGTTAATCACTATATGACCTGCTAGAGTTTAACACCTGGCCAATGGAGTTTAAACGCAACTCAAAGGGTAGCAAAAACTTGATAACTGCTGTGGGGGTTTATTATACTATTTTACTTAGATATATGTTGAGTTTTTCATCAAAAAAGAAAGAAACAAAAAATGTAGCTCAGTCTGTAGTTGGCTTTGTCTTTCTTCCACCCAGATGGTGACTGAGAGATATCCTTCAAGTCTAAGGCCAAAATATTACCAATGGGTATCTCAGTTATCAGGGAGGGATGGTGGGTGGGCATGACAACTCCACCAATCTCATCCAACTTCCAAGCCATGAGACAGATCCCAGAATTTGTCACGGCATACAGTTGGGTTCTGCCCCATGGCTCCAGTGCCTTTAATCTCAGAAAAGAGTGTGGTAAGGTGAGAGAAGTATGGCTTTTTGGTATCAGACAGAGTTGGGTTCAAATCCTGACTCTACTACTTACAACTGGGTAAACTGGTTTCTTCTAAGAGAAGAAAATGGCACTTATCTCTCAGAGTTGTAAGAAGCATTATATTAGCATACATAAAGCATCTAGACCAATGCCTGGCACCTTGAAAGTACTTAATAAATGGTCACTATTATTGTTACCACCATCATTATTATCCTGGCAGGAATGGCAAGGGCCATCCTCACCAGCTGTGACTCCAGCCAGCTCATCTTAGAGGCTCGGAGGCTTTCCCTGCTGCCCTAAGGATTATGGCAGAACACGGATTCCTCTGGTGTATTTCACCAACCAGACTTCTCAGGAAGGGGCCCTTCTTTACTTTATTGGTTTTGTAGACTGGCTCTTACCTCTCTCTAGTCTCCAAAGGCTTAGGCCTTTATTATAAAACCTGGAGCAAAAAATTAAGGCCAAACATCTGTATCCTAACCCAGGGAGGATGGCAAGCAAGTTTTCTGTCCAGGGAGGCCCACAGAAGGGCATTTCATTCTACTCTGTGCTTCATAGAAGCCTTAGGCAGAAGATATTTTCTGATAAATGAAAAATGACCTGGGCTGCATCCTACTCTTACCATTTACCATATCCCGTGCAATGCTACTTCTTCCTTGGACTGGGACTTCTGAAAGGGCCTTGAGAAGAAGATCAACACCCTTGCTACAGAAAGCATTTCAAGTTTCCAGCAAGCAGCCTATGTAGCCAGCCTGACTGCTAGTTCTCAGCAATTAAAGCAAGGGTCTGCTGCCACCTGTGCTTGTCACCCCGTCATGATGGGTTTGGGCAAAGTCATCACAGGCATTTGTCTTTAGGAAGTCTTTTCAGAGCCCCATCTCTTCCACTGACTTTGTTCTACCTGTCTCTTCACGTCCACTATAGCCCTGCTAGTGGTACCAATCTAGGGCTCTTCAAAGGACGTTTTAAGTGAACAATTCCTCGAGGCCTCTCCCTGAGCCCCTTTTATGTCATATGTCTTTCCTTGGGATAATGAAGTGCTTGTGAGTCTAAAGGTGACCTTCCTTTCTCCTACCACAATCCTTGAATCTTTCATTGCTATCGCTTGGCTCTGAGTAACACCTGGGAGACCTAGAGGGGTGAGAAAATACTTTCCCACATCCCCTAACCCTGCTCCTCTTGGGGTCCAGCCACAGTGGTACAAGCTCAGCAGGAGCAGAGCAAGGAGACAAGAACTTGGAGTGCGGTAGTACTCCTTTGACTCCACCTCCTTTGACAGAAACTTGTTACTTTTCTGGCTTCTACCCTCCCCACTCTGTGATGGCAGCACAAATCACATATTTAATGAGGACCTTGGGAGTCTGGTACATTCTTCTCCGGGACCTCTGCCCGATCCATTTGAAACCTCTGTTCCTGGCACTGTTATCCAAAAGCTGCATCTATAAGCAAGGAATAAATGCTGCCTTCCCTGGGTCCTAGGGTCTAGACCTCAGGGGCTTCCTCTGTGAGGCCTGGAACCTCACAGAACTCTCTCTCTTCTCATTAGTTTTGGTCCCCGATTAAACATGCTCTAGTTATTTGGGTAATATGGTCACTGTGGTGTGTACACTACTTAAGCATAGCCTCTGGGATGATCTGAATCCTGGAAGAGATTCTAGTTCCACGAGAGGATCACAGAAAGCTCAAAGAATTTTTCCTAAAGGTACTTAAGAGAGTGCTGTAGAACCTGTTATTTAGAAGAGCAATGCCCCTTGACTCAAGACCTTACTTTCTCTGAAAAGGAAAGAGCTTTAGAATCAGGTAGACTGGAGGAATGACAATCCAGCCATCCTAGCTCTTTGCTGTCAGACTATTTTGGAGAGGCCCTGCTGCCCCTGCTCCCCACCCCTCATCCCGCAGGGGCACTCACGCTGCAGGCAGTCGGCGTTGAGTAGGTCCTGGCACTTCTCATGGCACTTGACTCCACATTCGCTGCAGCGCATGCCCTGCCGGGGGATGCCCCAGAGCAGGCCCTCACACTCATAGCAGTAGGTCGGGGTAGTGGCCGTCCAGACCTCAAAGTTGTGGGGTGTGGTGCACGAGATGGGGTAGATTAAGGCCTGGAGGGTTTTCTTATATACATGGGATTTCTGAAAGACATATACCCCATTACCCACCAGCAACTTTAGGTATCTGCTGGGACATACCAGACCCTTGCAGAGCAATCAAGACCCTGGTTTCTCCTCTGGAAATGGAGAAGATGCTCTAGCCTGGCCCAGCCCATAGCCCAGCCTGGCAGAACGAAGCCTGCACTGTTGTGCTCCTGGTCATTCAAGACAGTTGGATCTAACCTAAAAGCTGGGTCTGAGCCTTGTCTCAGCATTCATGGGAAACAGAGGTACTAGGCCCATCATAAAACCCTGAGTTGAGTAGTCACATACTCCAACATGAGACTTGGGCTCACCCCTGGTCTGGACCCTTGCCTTTCCCAGTATGGAAAACTGAGACCCAGTGCTATCTATCTGTTTCATTAATGACGTGTGCTCAACACTCTTGAATTCCCAATTAGTATGGCTACAGTGATGATCACCAGTCTCTAGGCCAGTGGACTCATGAAAGACCAAGGGTCACTTACCAGCTCTTCATCCTTGAGAGAGGTGTGTGTAGCCATTGCAGAAGTAATCCCTGCCTTCCGGGACTGGACCAGTGACTGTGAGAGAAGACCTGCTGTCAGCCCTGGTTCCCACCAAGGGCTGGCAAAGTCCTGGGAAGGAGTTTCAGTGACCAAAGCAACTTGCCTGTAACTTACTATCTTCTCTCTATTTTTACTGTCATTCACAGGGACTGCACATGGGTAATAGGTAACAAGCATTCCAGGTTAAGATCCATAACCCAAGGCCCTCAGGGGACTATTCTAACAATATTAGAACAGCACTTCTGTCAGGGTACCTATCATCCAAAGAGTTTCTCTTTTCTTCACTATTTTTAGGTATTCCACCCCTTGTTTATAGGAAAGCAAAGGAAAATAAAATTTTAGAGTTATAGTAGGAAATAAGTCATTAAGAATAGAATAAACACACAACCCTGTCAGCGTCAGATTCAAGAACCATCCCTAAGAATGATTCCATGCTATCCTCTAACCCCTCGTACTACCCCATGCCCACACAATCCCAAATGGCTGTAGAGGCCAATAGCCCAGAAGAGCAGGGGACTTGGTAAGTGAAAGGGGCAATGTAGCCTCAGTCACATCAAGCAGGGCAGGGGGTTAAGTCTGAGAGCTGGGGCTGCCCTGTTAGTCAGGCTTTTATGTACAGGGGCACCACATACATGTATCTGCCAAGGTCAAGCCTTAGGGGCTGCCCCTGGAGAGGCACATGGTTTCCATAACACAGTGGACATCGGGCAGACAGAAGTTATAATATCAGCCAAAGCTGGAGGAATAGTTGGAAGGGGCCCAGGTGGCTTAAGATGTGGGCTCTTATACAGGATGGGAAAGGACTCTGGAGACACTCACCATGGCCTGCGCAGAGGAGAGCAGAGAAAGGAACAACATTATGTTAAAGCCCCCCCAAGGGCATGAAAAAACTTTCAGAGGCAACTGAGAGGTTCTTCCCTATAGTCCAACGTAAGGAACATATCCCTACCCTCTCTGCCTCTATCCACTGAAAACTGTCTTCAACCCAGACAGCTGGCCAGGGCCCAAGGCCTAGAGTTCCTACTCTAAGGAGAATTATGCCATAAAGTGAAATATAGGCACGGTTAAAAGGCAGAGGAGGGGACACGAGAAATGAATAAGACACAGCTATCCAACAGTTAAGCAAAGGAGCTGGTGGGCAAGAGGAAGTAGAGGATGAGAAAAAGGAGGAGAAGAAGAAAGAGGAGATGGAAGACAATGAAAGAAGGTCATAAGAAGAGATGACATCGGGATTTATCTTCATCCAACCAGCTTGATGAAGAGTTGGTAGAAGAAGAAGTGTATTAGAAAGTAAGGAAAAAGAGAAAGGAGAAGATACACAAATAGTAGGAAAGAAAGAAATGATTAAGAGGATAGTTCCATTAAGCCAACTAAGGAGGGAGGAACTGGTGGAAAAAAAGAGAGCAGAGAATGGAGGAGAAATGGAAAAGGGGTGGATAGAAAAAACAGGGCAGACAGAATAGAGAGGGAAAAAAAAGAAAATAGGAGCAGAAAACGGTAATAAGAAAAAGGGTTCCAGTCTTACTGAACATCTAGCTTTAGAGCCCTGGGACTCTGGGACAGCCTGTGCCCCAATCCACCCCCACTTCCCACTAGGCTATGGAAAATTCCTTGAGCTGACACTGCCTCAGGAAATATGATCCAAAATGGGAGCTTTTGGTCATCTGGAGATCCTGAAATCAGCTTTAACTCCTAAGCCTATTTCAATTCAATTCCACAAATTTTTATCATTACCTCTCAGTGCGCCAGACACTGAGTTAAAGACTAGGGGCTCAGAGATAGTCTAGAAAGCCCATGTCTTGAGAGGAGACTGTCACTTGACATCCAAGACGGAGATGCACTAAGCTCAAAGGTGTAGATCAGGGCTAGAGGCAGTTTCCATTCCGGGTCATCAAAGAAGGGTATAGAGACACCTAGAGAAACTAGACACCCAGAAGAAACCCTGGAGCCCAGCTTTGAAGGCCCAACCTATAAATGTTCCAGGTAGGAGCTTGAGCTAATAAAGAACCTGGGGCTCTGACGAGGAAGTGAGGTAGAACAAGGTCCCACTGAAGCCATCATTAAGTCTCAGTAACACTTTAAATGATTGATCTTCAGACCAATACTTAGCACACTAAATGGACCACTACCAGTCCTAATAACTTGCCAAGGCCCAATGGGGGATATCCCAGGGCTACAGCCTAAGCCTGCACAAGAGTCTCACTCACCAGATTACTGACAAGTGGCAGTGGCTTCTTTCTGCGTAGATCTGGCATGCTGTCAATGCCATAGAGTCCTCCAGCTGGCCTGAGGAGAGAAGAAAATATAACAGGACCTTGAGTCCTGCCTTGAGTTACTGGCAGGTTCAGTGTTCCATTCTCCTTGCTCACTCTCTCCCCAGAGGAAGATGAACTGACCTCCACCACGTGCCTTGGAGAGGGCTAAGGAAGATAGAAAGTGAGGGAAATAAAGCCATGGGATGATGACAAGTGGAATCTGCTCTCAAAGTGCCCCTCAGTATCTCCTTTTATGGTTTTAGCCAAGGACTGAGAGCTCTTTTATCCCATAGTAACAGACTGTTCAAGGCACCTCTATTTATTTGAAGGTCCTTATGTTCCATAAGGCAAGGTAGGAATTGGTGGTTAAGAGGGTTCCTCCTCACACTCAGGCCAGAGACACTGCTCCCAAAGATAAGTCTTTCCTGGCCTGAGCTAGAACAGAGCCCACAGGGATGGCTGTACAGAAGAGCTGCTGCCTAGGTGAGCAAGATGGCCAAACAATGACGTGTTAGGAGACCTTCTCCATCCTGAGTAGAAGAGCCACAAGTCCTGTCTATCCAAGCCTCTTGAAGCAGACGGGTCTCCATGGAAAGAAGTACCCACATAATCAACTGGAGGCAGAAGAAGTGGGATGAGACATTCCAAAAGACCATTTAGGGGGTAAGAAAAAGACCATTTAGGAAGGAAAGAGCAAAAGGACTCAGAGTCTGGCCTAGTTCTATGGACACATCAATAAGAACCAGGAAAAATTATAGCTGGAGCAACTGGAGATTTCTAAAACTTTTATATCTTTTCTATGCTTATTAATTTTGTTGTTCTTTGCCTGTTCTTCCATAACAATATGCAATAAAAATACAGAGAATGTCCCAAGAGGAACACCACTCTCATTTTTAGATAACCTGGATTTTATCCCCAGATCTTCTACTAACTCACTACATGTCCTCTGCCAAAATTCCTTCCTCTCCTTGGGTCTTGGTGTTGCTTCCATAAAGGAGGCGGATGAACTACAAAATCTCTCTGACCCTTTAGAAGCTGTCATTCTGAGACTCAATGGAAAGAACTCAGTTCCTTGGTTTTAATGAGAGCAATGAGGTGGGGAAGGTGGGGTGGCTGGGTTGTACACCATAGGTGGTATGAAAGAGAAATGTAGCAGAAGAATAATTGGGTCAAGGCCAGGAGCTGAAACAGGCAACCTGATATGTTGATTTCTAGTGAACTAGCTTCCTAAGCACAGGCAGTGAACTATTCTCAATGAGACTACCACACCTAGGGAAGTTCTAAACTTGTGATAGCTTCCAAGGACTATGCTGAAGGAAAGGAAGGATGACAACAGGGAAGCATTTAGAAAATCACTATATGGCTCCATGTAAAAATAGCTTGGGGGGCCGGCCTGCTGGCATAGTGGTTAAGTTCATGCATTCCGCTTCAGTGGCCTGGGGTTCACAGGTTCAGACCCCGGGCGCGGACCTACACACAGCTTGTCAAGCCATGCCGTGGAGGCATCCCACATACAAAATAGAGGAAGATGGGCACAGATGTTAGCTCAGAGCTAATCTTCCTCAGCAAAAAGAGGCGCATTTGCAATGGATGTTAGCTCAGAGCCCGTCTTCCTCACACAAAAAAATTAAAAAAAAAAAATATCTTGGATATCTTCGATTAGCATGTATGTATTTTACAATTTTTTTTTTAAAGATTTTATTTATTTATTTTTTCCTCCCCAAAGCCCCAGTAGATAGTTGTATGTCATAGCTGCACATCCTTCTAGTTGATGTATGTGGGACGCGGCCTCAGCATGGCTGGAGAAGCGGTACGTCGGTGCGCGCCCGGGATCCGAACCCGGGCCGCCAGCAGCGGAGCGCGCGCACTTAACCGCTAAGCCACGGGGCCAGCCCTGTATTTTACAATTTTAGAAGAAAAAAGCTAAAGCCCTGAAGAAGGGCTGCTGAAGAAGCAACTGGTGCCACAAGTTTGTAGCTAACTCTAAAAACTATAACATACACCACTTAAGCCAAGAAGTTTCTTTGCAATATAAATAAGCTTTTGACAAAAGAGGAAAGGATAGCTCATTCACATGATTAACTATTGATTTAAAAAAGACAAATTACAAGGAAAAGAAGCATGTAAAAATGTAGTAAATAACTTTATCAGAAGTACAGACGGAACACTCAGAGCTCATAAGGATTGCTACTTATGTCTTGAGCTGAGTGGAATGGAATAAGTAGATGACTCAAAACCGCTGAAGGAGGAAGCAGCCCAGAGAGTAATCAAATAAGCTACAATGTCAACAACGGATTAAAAAGAAACTATCTCCAAACGCAGATACTTTTCTAGTTTCCTCTTTCTTCTACCACTTTCTTCTTTCTTCTTCCTCTTTCTTACACCACTATGATGCAATGGATCAGAAATTCCAGAGGCAAGGATGAGGGAGCCCCAAAGCTCCTTCCCCTGCTCCAGAGGAACCACTCTGCAAAGCTCTCTCTTCTGCCTCTGAGGAATCAGTCTGCAGAGTGCTCTCCTCTGCCCCCAGAGAACCAACCAATCTCTACAGTAGAACCTCTTCCTTCCCCAGGATCCAGTTTATGGAGCTGTTTCTCCTGCTTCCCACAGGAAAAGCTAAAAGCAGCATGAGAGACTATAAAATCCACAGAAACCTTGAAGGGAATCACTTACCCATCAGGGAGCCACTGGGGCAAAGAAGGGTCACCATCATCCGGAATCTTTAAAAAGAGACAGAAAAAAGTTAGATCCAGGGAAAGATGGGAGACTACCATCTTTCTTTGGTCATGCAGTGAGCAGTAAAGTAGGAAGCTCAGAGCAGTGCAGGTCACATACACCAGGTAGTGACACAGCCAGCCTGACGTCTAAGCCAATGCCCTGATCAGGCAGGGCAACAAGCAGGCTGCTGAAATGAGCAGTACTTCGTCTCCCTTCTCCCCAGTGAATAGGAAGGATATAAAGCCAAGCTCACTGAGATCCCAGGGCTAAGGTTCACTGGGAGGGTGACAGCTGCCAGAACTTCTATTCCCCTCACACAACCCAATGGTGTACACAACAGTAAGCCAAGGCCAGGAGAAGGGTCCACTTGGGCTTCCAGGCTTCACTAAAGCAAAAAGACAACTTCACATAGAGTCTGATCTTCCAGCTCTATTCCTAAGTTCCCTTGGCTGCCCCAGAGTGGGACCTGGTCTTTCTGGATTCCCATCTGATCTTATGATTTGACTTTTAAAGCCCTAACTCACTGACACTGAGTACACTCTACATTTGATAAGCTCTATGTAACAAGAGAACCCAGGGCAGACACTTGGATTATCACTCTGGTGAATTTTATGAGCTCTATAACGAGAAGGTGAAAATTGAGGCACCAAATAATTCAAGGAAGGAACAGTTTGAAAACACTTTTTTTTTTTTGTGAGGAAGATTAGCCCTGAGCTAACATCCGATGCCAATTCTCCTCTTTTTGCTGAGGAAGATTGGCCCTGGGCTAACATCCGTTCCCATCTTCCTCTACTTTATATGGGACGCCACCACAGCATGGCTTGACAAGCCGTGTGTCAGTCCACGTCCAGGATCCGAACCTGCGAACACTGGGCCGCCGAAACAGAGCACGCAAACTTAACCGCTATGCCACCAGGACAACCCCCGAAAACACTTTTAAAAGGTTTCTGCACAAAAAAAACAAAGCAAATCCTTCAAGTGGTGTACACAGAGAGTTCCAAAGCTGCCAGGGCTCTCCAGAGAACAAATGGTAGATGTTTAGGCTCAACAGACCTAGTGCTAGCAGGTCTGGTGGTTTCTGCTCCTCCTTGTTCCCCTCCACCCCCAACAACTTCCCTGCCTCCTGAGACCTGGGCTCCAGCTAACTATCCTGGACCAAATGAGCTCCAGAACAAAAGAGGCAGAAGTAAGCTGTTTCGCTTTGGACAGGGGGTGAAGTTTTAGGAGAGCTAAAGATGGGAGAAGTTATAGGCAGAATGAGGCAAGATAGAGTAGAAAAAGCCTCCCGGTAGGACAGGCTAATGGACGATGTAAAAGTGGGTAAGAATTAGCAGGGGTCAGTAGTAGGCTCAAGATGAACTCTGGATTTAAGACCCTTCTCAGGTTGTCTGTGCTCTAATCAAGCCTATCTGCCTACTGCCAAAAGCTCTTCATGACTCCATTTCACCTCATCTGCCACCTGCCCTAGTTTTGTGGGTGGGATGATATTGGTAAAAGGAGGATCAGGCCTAAAAGGCAGCCAGAAGTGGTTGAAGCAAGTCTCCTAAGGTTGCTTGTGAGACGTAGCCCATCCCTAAATCCCCAGATCCTACCAACCAAAACTTATCTTCCCTTTGGAAACAGTCACTGTACTGACCAGATTTTTATTTCCTACCTAGAATTAGATGTTTGCCAGAAACCACTGGGCTTAAGGAAACAAAGTCGCAAAAAGTCTTTGGGAGCCAAGGTTCATAGGCTCAGATCATACACATTTCCTGTGCTTAGAGGGGACAATGTGTCTGGAGAAGCCTGCAGACACAGCATAGAGCATGCACGCACACGGCTCTGAAGGAGTGCCAGGGGAGTCAGAGGAGGTCTAGAGAAAGTACCTACAGCAAGTACCTTCACAGACACAACTTGTGCCTGAGGGAAACACAAGGTGAGCATGGCTCCTGCACATAGGACTACAGAACGTGTGCACACACCCATTTGCAAGAGGATTCAGTGTTCACTAGGGCCCAAATCACAGGCAAAGCAACCCCACAGTCTTCAGGAATCATTGCTTGCAGGCACAGAGCACTGGTATACTACGCATTCACATGGCATGGGGGAACCACATCACAGGTCTACAGAAGCTTGTGCTCACAGAGAGGCCAGGAAGCCTGCCCAGAAGCACAAAGCACATTCATACTTAGGGCCCCAGGCAAGAGACACAAAATGCCTGCAGCAACTCATGCTCTCAAATACGTGTGTATGCATGCTGGGCTCGCAAGAGTTTACAGCATATGCCAGTCTGCAGCAACAAGTAGAAAATGGACACACACTGTGCAAAGTAGAAGAGGAGGGCAATCAGTGTTTGGGGCAGTCAAACTGAGTACAAGTATAAGCACACACATGCTACACTGAATGTGCACCGTGCTGGCAAACACATTCTCACACCGTGCTCCAGGGTGTCTGTAGGAGCACACACAAGCATGGAGCATGCACACAAACTACTTTCAGGAAAAAGAGACTATCTGCATGAGCCAACGCTCAGAGGCAGAAATCATGCATGCACACATACACAAATACCATGCTCAGGGGGGAGGGGTAGAAAATAGACAACAAAAAAGGCCCAAAGGGCCAGAGGCATAACCTGAAGGGCTCCTCGCTTTCCTTCTGCAAGGAGAGACAGAGCAGAAAAAAGGGGCAGAGAGGTTAGTAGATTCAGTCCTATAAGGGGACATTAAAGAAAATGCCAGCTAAACCTCCTCCTTCTCCGTGGAGGAGATGGAGAAGGCCTCTGAACAACTGGGCAGTTCACAGACCCAGCTCCCAGAATCCTTAACTCCTGTATTTGCTGGCTCCTGCTTTTTAATTTAGAAATCCCAGATTTGGCTACTCAAACCAAAGGGCAAAGTCTACCTGAGGATTCCAGTCACCTTCTTCCCCTTTCCAAAGTGGCCTGCATGCAGGGTCAGGGCCACAAGACTAGCTTTGTTACCAAGGGCGACTCCAACAGGCTATCTGAGCTGGCTGAGCACAGACTGAGTTCCTTCCTTAGAAGCTACATGAGTTCCCTCTGGATCTGAGATAAGTCCTCAAACTCCAAAGGCCTGGTGGCTGAGCCCTTTCCATTTTCTAACCCAGGCTTAGCCATGTGTTTGCCTAGCAAGCACTGGCCTGTTTTCCCAGAGCCTGAATTAAGTTAAGCCAGGTTGGGCCGGCCCCGTGGCTTAGCGGTTAAGTGCGTGCACTCCGCTACTTGCGGCCCGGGTTCAGATCCCGGGCGCGTACCGACGTACTGCTTCTCCGGCCATGCTGAGGCCGCATCCCACATACAACAACTAGAAGGATGTGCAGCTATGACATACAACTATCTACTGAGGCTTTGGGGGAAAAATAAATAAATAAAATTATTTAAAAAAAAAAAAAAAAGTTAAGCCAGGTTAAGGCCTGGAGTTAAGGCCAGGACCAGGATGCATCAGCTGGCCACTGCCCTAACAGAAGTACGATGATCTGGACGATAAAACCGTGACTGCAGTTCCAGGCCTGATTATCTATCAAATTCAGAACAATACCCCAAAGGAAAACTGAAACTTGCAGAAGAACCCAGGAAAGTCACCGCAGAGGAAGAATAAGGTCCCAAGATCACTCCTTTCCTATTTGTCAGAGACTACACTGCCTTCTAGGCCACACACAGGCCCACAGGCTTCCTTTTCTAAGGAAAGTCCATCCACCTGGACCCATCAGCTTCCCTGCACTTTCTTTTCCCTCCCTTTTAAAGATCCACTGATATTACCCAACAAGTAGGAGGGAGAATCTTAGAAACTAATCGTAAATTCCCAATTTTTCAAGCTATTTCTGATGACGTAATAGGTCACTTGACCTGACAGAAGAATGAACTCAGGACTAGGAATCTTCCAAAACAGTGCAGCTACAGAAAGGTGGGTGAGATGAAAAAGACAACTCCTGTAATGTGAACATGGCTCTTCTACATCTACTCCCCACCTCCCCTAGAGTAATCTGTTACATTTGAAAAAGAAAATTAGGCAAGGAATACTTTAACTGACCTTGTGACTCAAATTGGAAAGGTTTCTGTCCTCCACTATGTTAAATACATTGTACATATCATATCAAAGTTGCTTTGAATGTGTCCTTCTGTTCTTCCCAGAATTCCCCATAATGCCTAAAGAATAAAATCCAATCTGTCGACAAGGCCGTCAAGGTTTTCCGTGACCTGGCCTCTCATATCTACTGAAATTTTCTGCCTTCCTCTCAAAAGCAGAATGAGATGCCTCTCCACCATGTGCCCATGGTACCCACACGTCTATGTGCACACTTCTATGACAGTATATTGCCAGGACTGTCTCACTGCAATTGTCTGTATAAACGTCTCCTTTTAGACACTGTGAACTTCTTGAGAGCAAGAATTACATATACATTATTTTACCCTTGTAGCCTGAGCCTTAGCACATCTCCTAGTATTTGTATGTAGTAAAAGATAGGTCTCTCTTAGCCATAAGCTTGTACCATTTTCCAGACTTCAACAAACTGCTCTACTAGCCCTTCAATTTGTCCCACCTGTTGGACAAACATAAAAAAAACTTTTCTTGTAAGAATCAAACTTTTTGTGCTTCCTAACTTCCTAAAATGCCTTAGGATTTTTCCACTCAGATTTAGTTTTCAGTTTAAGTGATATATGTATATAGAATACCTGCTTTGCAGAAAAATCACTGAGCCCTAAGAATGATCTCACTCTTCCAAATACTCCATTGTATGAGGAAGTGACATACTTCCTCATTGTTAAAACAATCTTAACTCCATTGTACTTGGGAGTCAAAAGACTTGAGGTGCTCAATTTATCTGGGCCTGCATTTCCTTATCTGTAAAAAGTGAATAAGAACAGCTACCTCCCAGGGTTATTGCAAGGATTCATTTCTTTAACAAATACTTATTGAGAACCTGCTGCAGACTAGGCAATGTTCTTGGTGCTGGCGATCCATCAGGGAATGAAACAAACTCCCCGATCTTGAGAAGCTCCTATTCCAGTAGAAGAAGCTAACAGTTAACGATGATGATGAAGATGATGCCAGTAGCTAACACTAAGTGAACAGAGTATCTGTTTCTCGCATTTTATTTGAGTAAGTTCATTTATTTCTCAACTCTGCTGGGTAAATACTATTATTATCTCCATTTTGTTGTTGATGAAACTGAAGATCAGAGAGGCTAAGACATTTGCCTAAACTCACAGCAAGTGTCAAAGCCAAAATTTAAAACAGGCATTCTGGTTCCAGAATCTGGTTCCAGTAGATATATACTACATCATGTGTGATAGGGACGCTGCTGAAAAATTCAGGGGAAAAGATAATGCCCCCTGTGATGACATTACAGTTGCTATTAAAATTTTATAAAAGGTTGTCAGGAAGGCCTCATTGATAAAGTGACATCTAAGCAGAGACCTGAAGGAAATGAGTAAAGAAGCTATTCAGAGTTCCAGGAAAAAAGTATTCCAGTCAGAACATACAGCAAGTGCAAAGTCTGAGGTGAGAGCATAAGCGATGTGGAGGAAGAGCAAGTTTGTGCTAAGAGAACCAGTTCAAATAAGGCTCTACAGGCCCTTATAAACACTTGGGCTTTCATTCTGAGTGAGGCAGAATATCACTGGAAGATTTTGGGCAGAGAAGTGATATGATCTGACTCACGTTTTATAAGGATTACTCTGATTGCTGTGGGGAGAACAGACTGTAGAGAGACAAGGGTAGAAGCAGGTAGACCAGTTAGACTACTGCAATCACCTAGACAAGAGAAAATGGTGGCTTAGACAAGAATGATAGTGGTGGAGACAGAGATAGTGGTAAGACTTAGGATATTTTTTAAAGGTAGAGCAGGCAGAATTTACTAATTGACTGAATACAGGTTGAGAGAGAAAAGAAGTCAAGAATGACTCTATGAATCTGGGCCTGAGAAGCTTCAAGAATGGAGTTGCCATTTACTGGTAAGAAAGACTATAGGAAAAGCAGGTTTGGCAGGGGCTTGGGGAGAAGGATTAGGAATTTGGTTTTGGATATGTCAAACCTGAGATGCCTACTTACATCCAAATGGGGATGTTATGTAGATGTGGAATCTGGTGTTCATGGAAGATGTCTGGGCCAGAGATATAAATCTGGGAATGTTTATGAAACTCATGAGATTGAAAGAGATTACCTAGGAAGTGAGTATGACTAAAAAGAAGTTAGGATTGAATCCCGGGATGCCAAAAGTTTGGGAAAATGAGGAGGGACCAGCAAAAATGACTGAGAAGGAATAGTCAATATTGGGGGAGAACCAAGACAGAGAGGTGTTCTTGAAGCCAAGTGAAGAAAGTGTTTCAAAAAGAAGGAATTGAAGCCCAAGGATAGACTGAAGATCAATGGAATAGAATTGGGAGTCCAGAAATAAACTCTTACATTTATATCAGTTGATTTTTGACAAGGGGGCTAAGACTATTCAATGGGGAAAGAATATTCTTTTTCAACAAATGGTGCTGGGATAACTAGATAGCCACGTGCACAAGAATGAAGTTGGACCCCTATCTCACACCATATAAAACAATTAACTCAAAATGGATCGTAAACCTAAATGTCACTCAGAAATGTCATTTAATAGGAATAAAACTTTGTGACCTTGGATTAGACAATGATTTCTTACTGGTGAAACCAAAAGCACAATCAACACATCAAAAGACAGATAAATTGAACTTCATCAAAATTTAAAACTTTTGCAGTCTACTTTATACCCACTATGATAGCTATCGCGCACACAAGAAAACGAAGTAACAAGTGTTGGCAAGGATGTGGAGAAATTGGAACCTTTGTGCACTGTTGGTGGGAATGTAAAATGGTGGAGCCACTGTGGAAAAAAAATATGGCAATTCCTCAAAAAAATTAGAATTACCATATCATCCTGCAGTTCCACTTCTGGGGATATACCCAAAAGAAATGAAAGCAAGGACTCAAATATTTATAAGCCCATGTTCATAACAGCATTATTCACAATAGCCAAAGAGTGGAAGAAGCCCAAGTGTCCATTAATGGGTGAAGGGATAAACAAAATGTGGTATATACATACAATGGAATACCATTCAGCCTTAAAACAGAGGGAAATTTTGACACATGCTTCAACATGGATGAACCTTGAAGACATTATGCTAAGTAAAATGAGCCAGTCACAGAAGGACAAATATTGCGTCCTTATATGAGATACCTAGAGCAGTCTAATATTTAGAGACAGAAAGTATAATGGTGGTTGCCAGTGGCTAGGGAGAAGGGAGAATGGGGAGTTAGTTTAATGAATACAGTTTCAGTTGGGAAAGATGAAAAAGTTCTGAAGATTAGATGGTGGTGATGGTTGCACAACAATGTGAACGAATTTAAAATGGTTAAAATGATAACTTTTATGTTATGTATATTTTACCACAATAAAAAATTTTTAAAGAATAAAATCTTTATGCTGCAGAAGACACCATCAAGAAAGTGAAAAGAGAACCCACAGATTGGGGAAAAATGTTTACATATCATATATCTGATAAGGGACATATATCCAGAATACATAAAGAACTTTTACTACTCAACAACAAAAAGACAAACAACTCAATTTAAAAATGGGCAAAGGATCTCAATAGATATTTCTCCAAAGAA